CAGGGCTCAGGACTCTGGGACTCAGGTCTGCTGGGTGCTGCCTTTGGCTCTCTTTTCAGAGTCCCTGGTATAGTGTAGTAGAAGCTTGGGGGCTCACGAAGGAATTCAGATTGTGGCCAATGTAAATCAAGTCCAGGTTTTCTAAAAATTCCTTAAAATGAAGAAAAATATGACTCCCTACTGCCCTCTAACTTAGCTTAAACCCACAGCCAAAGCCTACAGTTACAAAGGGAAAAAGTTCAAATTGACATGTTTTACAGTCCCTGAAAGAAACCAATCTGGATTCACTACCTTTGAGAAGCAGGTTGTTTTAAAGGACTCGGGGAAAGGGTAGTTTCTTTTTTAGCTTAGTTTAATATATTTTCAAAAAAGAGAAAAAGTTATTTTGAATCTTGGCAAGGTTGAGAATGGTCATCTTTAAAACTGCAGCAAACAAAGCTAACAGGCCTTCTCATCCCAGGGAGCTCATTCCTTGAAAAACAAAACCAGGGCTGAGCTTTCACATGACTTCTGCTCAATATGCAATGTACTGACTGATTCATCAAAATATTTTTATTTTATAGTTAGCACTAAGTTAAGTTGTAAAAATTTCCAACTGTTACAACAAAAACCATCCCCCCAAATTTAAAAAGAAACGTTACATGGAAAAGGGCTGAAAGGAGAAGTTCAGGAGAGTCATTTAGAAGACAGGGCTGGAGCTGGAGAAAGGCCACAAGGCAAGTTCACGGGATGTGCAACATTTTATTGTGAGTAAAAGCTGAACCAAATACAGCTAAGGCGAGCAGAGAGTACACGGGTGCTTGTAAGATGACTGGCCTAACTTTCTGTTTCATGACTTACAGGCTTACAGTGATCCCGAGTGTATGATTCTGTGTCTATGTGTTAAGGAATTCAATCTGTGATCTGGGTGCAAAACTGACTTCTCCTCAGATAAACTGCTTAAACAACCACTGCTATAAGATACATAAATTAATTATTGACATCATCCTCTGACTGCAAATCAGGGTATCCACAAAATAGAAAAGAATCTATTCTTTCTAGTTTGGCCCCTCTGCCAGAGAAAGAGGCAGTTAAGGACCCTGGATGCTTGAGGCACCCAAGTGCCATGCTAGACACAGGTATCTTGAGGCCCAGTCCAGCCCTTCTATCTAGAATGCCTAAAGGCTGCAATTTTCAGAGCTGGTTCTTCGAGACGTGAAAATTAAGTCTCCTGCAAAGTTTATGTGCTACTTTCCCAAGATTGGTTGCAGGCTCAAATGCATGAGCTCTGGAGACAACAGGGGGCCCTGACTGAAGCTCTGGAGTAGGGTACCTGTGTCTCAGGGTCCATGGTCACTCAGCTTCCTGGGGCCTTCCTCCAGAGGAGCACATGCAGGGAAGAAAAGACCAGGGTAAAGCTCAGGTGCTCTACTATCACTGTGCTTATTTTCTGCTGAAGACATTGTCCAGGAAAGCAGCAGCGGCATCTCTGATGGCCCCTTCTGCTAAACGCCAGTCTAGGGGCCTGTCATCTTGGAGCCACAAAATATCAGCTGATGTGCTAATATGAATGGGCTGAGGGGGAAGAAGCAGCAGCCCCAAGGAACTTAATACCACATTGTGTTTCACCTGGTGTCACAGTAAGAAAGAAATGCAAATGGTTTCCTGGGTTGTAGCCCACTTAATTTTCTGATAGTAAGAAAAATTATTTTTGATGCAAATGAGGCAACTGTATTATGTGAACACAACTGGAAAAAATCTGAACTGAACACAATGTTCACTCTCTCTTGGGTTGGCTCTGATTAGTTTGTATTGTTTTGTTTCTGGTATCAAAAGGCTAAGGAAACAAATATGCTTATAATGGCTTTATTTTATTCTTCCAAGTCAAAAGGAAAATCATGCAACAAATATAACAATTTAAGTCTAATGCTAATCTATGACATCAATGTACCGCACCACTATGCTGAAAGAATATACTTTAAATATTTTTGTTCAAGGATATAGTTTTAAAAATCAAGTCACAAAAACATTTTGATCACAGAAGTAATCTGTTTTATAATAGCATTATACCTATAGAAAAATAGGCATTTTTTAACTGAAATGACAGTCGCTGTAAAAATATTTTCAGAAGGCATAGAGAAAGGACTTATAAAATCATTCTACCAATTGTTTCCTGAATTAAATTTATGAATTGTTTACCTCTTACTGTATACTCACATCCCTTCCATTAAAATTTTAAAAAACCTATTATACAATCATGTGAAAAAATGATTTGCTCCTATGTTTAATGTAATAGATTGAAAAGCATTCAGAACTTTTGCAATGTGAATAAGGGAGAATTTCAAATAAAATACAACTCTAGTTTCAAATGAGCCAGTTCTTATACCTTCTCACACCAAGCCCTGTAAAGGCGCTTACCACTTCTACGTAGCTACTCAGATCCTTCTTTCTTAGGCTTTTAACCCCTGTTCAAATTGTTTACTTCAAAAAAAACCAGATTTGTTACTTAGAATTTATGTGACACCTGTGTAAAAGTTATTGTCAGACCCATCATTCTGTTTAAGAGGTCAGCATAAACAGTACAGATTGTGGGAATTTAAACTATAAATAAAATTACAAAGAAAAACAATACTTGCATGCCCTTAGTTGGTTTCAGGCTCCTGTTTTCCTTGAAAATACACAGAAATGATTGATTCCATTTTCTTTCCTCTGATAAAAGCTAAACTTCGCTCGGCCATTGTTATTGCTCAGAAAAATACAGTCTGCCCTTCAGTGTTCAAATCATTTGAAACTGCAAAACTGAAAAGTTCCAAGTGACATTTTCTTCTAATGGTTACAACTAAGCTCTTTGCCTATCATCCAAGGAAAGGCTCTTGGGTTTTAATTACATGGGACAGAATTCAACTAGAAGTTGTTGAAAGAGCTGACAAACTGCTCACTGTGTTTGGGACACTCTTCACAAGTAATAGTAATTCAAGAGAAAACACTGTTTTAATACAGCACAATGACCCATGATATGAAAGGGAGTTCTATAAAGACCCAAAGAGAGGGGTTAAAAAAATCTTACACTTCACCTGACCAGCCAGGCACTCGCAGACACACGGCGTAGGTATAGAAGGTGAAGGTGAACCCTTCACCAGCAGCCACTGGGAACAGCAGTTTCAGGAACTCAGAGCACTGGTTGGGCCAAACTCACAGACCCTCACTGAGTGGGTGGTGGTATCTTCAATATCAGAACAACCCTATGATGCTAACTGGCATCATACAGTCCCCTTTGTTGGGTGTCTGGCTTCCCCAGGTTAGTTTAAAGAACAAAAAATGGGAAGTATGAAGGTCAAACCTTTTTGGTGTGTGTTAAGAGCGAGGCCAGGGGACAGCGCTTGCTAAGGGCAAGAGGCTGCACTGCCTGGCTTGGGAGCTCCCCACTTCCTGCTAGCTAAGCAGACACGACTAGTCAAATAGGGGCCTAGGACTGCAGCCTCAGCCTCAACCCTCTAGACTCTCCATGCTGGACCTGACCCCCCTCTTCTCTACCCATGCTTGGACTCAGGTGTTAGAGAAGTAAGATTGAAGGTAAACACTTATTATGAGAGTAGGGGAGCACAAATGTGATTTTCTAATTAAAGCCACACAATTAGGACTGGCAAGCTCAGACTGGCAGTATACAGACTCTGCACCTTCCAAAAAAAAAAAAAAAAAAACTCCTTAAAGGTGGAGGGAACCAAAGAAACCAAAACAAAACAAAAAAACTTTCACAGTTTACTGATCTGTACACTTGGTCATTCGAAGATTCCACTGACTGCTCTGATAATGTAGTACGTGAGCATGTGACTGCTAATGCTAAGGCCAAGAAACGCTTAAGTTTCTACCCAATCCTGCAGAAATCAAATGCACAAAGCAGACACCTCCCCCAGAACACAGCATACCCATCTGTACTTCCTGGCTCACCTCACCCACATCCTAACATTGCGGTGTTAGGCAGCCTCAGCGACTGCTCTTCTAGGAATATCTCGCACCTTCAAAGTGAATGCAACGAGTCAGGGCCCCTTGCCTTCTATGTTTTTCTGCAAAAGCTGGGTGCTTTCTGCATCACCAGGGGAAGTCAGTTTCCCAGCTCACATGTCAATTTCAGGGATAATCATTTAAAACGACTGCACCTGATCACTTTTACTCAGTACTCTTTTATATTCTTCTAGAAGTCAATGCCAACTACCTGAGTTTTTCCTCAATGTTAAAATAATCTGCATTAATACACACATCAGGTATATTTTAACAGAATCATTACAGAAAATAGGTAAACTCTAATGGCTTCTCTTAGATACAAAACAGAATCAGCATATCATCTGAGATGTTTGGCTGCTATTTTCCTGCATGTAAATAAAATCAAGAGTATGTAAGGGTCTCTGGAATGCTTCAGGTTGCATCTTAAATTGATTTCCCACTTTTGCTCCTGATCAGTAGATTTTTAGGAAAACGTATGCATCGTGCCACTGAGCAGATGAGGAATCTGTGTTTGTTATAAGGTCAAGAAGAAAACTTTAAGTTATGACCCTAAATTTCCTTTCCCAATTTATGGAAGTACTTTGATACTGTACAGATTATACAGATTATAGGATAAACCTTTTCTTAACTCCCCTCCCCAAACAGGCATTTAATCCAGAAATGCTGGCACAAGGCTCCCTATCAGAGGGCTATTTCCTGATAGGAATTCCTCAAGGATACTTCAAACCCAGAGGGCTAGGGAAGTAAGTAGCAATTTCAAGTAAAATACACCCATACAAACCCTGAATGTGAGAAAGAAAAGAAAGTCTGGCCTTTCTCCTTCTGCTCCCAGACCACGGGGGAGGAGGTGCTCAGTGGTATCTTTACTAATGCACTGCAGAAGGGAAGCAAGTGGACACATGAGTGCACAGCCCGCAGTGCCACGGGCATCCCATGAGAGACTGCAAAGGCACGACCGTGTTGCTACCACTATTCTGTAGGGCAAGTCTGCCCAGTGTGCCCTTCACACAAGCTCTTACCATGTCCCCAGGCTTGACAGCAACGGCCACCACCACTCCAGGCATCGGAGAGCGCAGGATGCTGCTTGTGTCTTCAGTCACTTTTGTGAGCATAAATTTGTTCAGTTCTGCTGCGAGTTTGGTTAAGATGTGTACCTTGTACTTGAAGAAAAAAAAAAAACAAAATAAAAAAGGAGTTCAAATGATGAATTTCTCCCAAAAAACCCCACTCATTGAAAATCAGTTTTCAGCTTCTAAATTAAAATTACAATAATATCCTTTAAGCCAAACATTCTACAATCCTTATATACAACATTATTCATTTCTTGAATATACTGGGCCAGTTTTTTAGAAAATTTCTTTAAAGAACTTTTCAGTGATTAGTTGGTGCTATATAATAAGCATCCAGGATCCTTAAGAAAAACATCTCAAAACTTTATAAAGAAAACAGTGAGGATTTTGCTCGAAGAAATGCTTCACTGTGCTCAGATGAGAGGAAGTCAAATCCCATGAGCTGGGTTGGCCAGGGGTAAAGGCAGTGATGCTGAGTGGGAGCCAGCAGATGGCAGCAGACTGCTGCCACAAGCCTCCAGAGCAGCTGTACTGGGGAGATCAATAAATTGAGACAAAGGCTTCAATGTTCATTTTGGACAAAACAATCTTTAAATTTCAAATATTTTTCAGTAGCCAAAAATGTTATATCCACATAAAAATGCTTTTCTTTATAGGCACATCATCATGTCATCTTTCCTGGTATGGCAAGACGGCTGGGTGAAAGATGGGATATACTGAGACTACCGTCTGGGCTGAGATTTTTAAAGACACAGAAAACAATATGCACAGATGTTTTCATGGCCTCTTCTACAGGCAGCTTTCAAAGGTGGAAGGCCAGTGAGTCCAGTCAATTATGACCCTTCTAATAAAGAGGATTCCCACTGGATAGGAAAAATCCTACATCTTTGTGCATAAATATATGAGTCAGAACTCATTCTATCCAAACAGAAAATAAAATGGTTTGAGGTGGGGAACAGGAGCTAGCATCAGACCTGTCTCTTGAGGTAAGGCAGAAGTAGCACCCACTGGGCAGCTCCATTTGGTTGGAGGAAAGCTGCTGCAGCTCAAAGCCTCCTGTGGGCATCCTGCTGGCAGGATGCAAAGACGGAGTCTAATTCACCCTTTGACTCTGCGCAGGGACAGCGGAAATCTCCAAATGGGCTCTTTGCAGGGCCTATTTAAAGCGGGTGGGGAGAGGCCCCAGGAAGAGCTTTGATGGCCTAGGTTCCAAGTAGATTTGCGACAAGGTGACAGGCTGAATAATAACATCTTTTGCATGTTTCTTTACTCCTGAGTGTGTGTTTTGCAATCAAGACATACAAGCATCTGCCAATTTCTGAAGGATATGATCCTTAAGTGAAATTACAGTGCAAATAAAAGCTTTTTGCTCCTATTAAAATTCATCTGAGTCATAAGTGGCAAGGGAAAAGCAAGGAGAGTGCATGCTGCTGTCAGTCTGACAAACATTCTGGGCAGAGACTACTTATCACCCACGAATTGTACCTCCAGGTCCTTCATTAAATCTATGGGGGGGGCATAATTGGGCCAAATTGCACAGTTTTCATATCTGTGCTCTGTCTGCCTCAGAGAAGAAAATCCACATCACCGGAGGCCTGAAAGTGACCAAAAAGTTCCCTTTCTGGCCGCGTCCCTCAGGTGTTACATTGCTTTGTGACTGGCTGGCATTCCACCTTGGGGCTTAGTTTCCAGCATAGCATATAGATCTATTTTTTCCCTTGTTTTCTGCACAGTTCAACTTCACCATGTGACCTCTGAATTCAGGAAAAGTCTCTACACACTGAGGAGAATGTGGCAAGTTTCTACCACAGCAGAGAGACTTAAGAGCTAATGATCCCACCTAGCTCACAAGTCTGAATGCGAACCAAGGGCTAAGACTGTCCATAGTACTAGCTCTCCTCAGAAACTGCCAGATCCTGACTGAAACTGGGTCCTTTTACTATTTTTATAATTTTCCTATCTTCTGAATTCCTTTCTCTGTAGGGCTCCTGCTTTGCTTGGAAAGAGATGTAAAAGAGCACAAAACCCAGGCTTTGGATGCGGCCTTTGTTACTGATGAGATGTTCCTTTCTCCTTTTGTGTTTGTTTATTGTTCTTAAATCTTTGAGGGATAAGTGACTTATTGTAATCACAAGTAAAAAATAACAAGGAGTCAATGCCTCAGGAGAGGCCTTGTTGCACATAGCTGGCTTAAAGGTGACCTTTCTGAATAGGAACAAGGAGGCAGAGAGAAGGTTTTCTTCATAAGATTACCTTTGATGCTGTCCTGCCCCAGTCCCTGTCAGTGTCTCTGCATACAACAGGCCATCTTAAAACAACCTGTCCTCAGCCCAGCAATAGTGCATGGGGCTGCAGGCCTGAATGGGTAATGGGTCAAGTAGGTGCAGTATATGGGACCATCTAAGTGGGCATCTTGGTAATAACTGTAAATGCTGCTTTCTGATGTCCCAGAAAAGAAGGCACTGAAGAATTTGTACTAGGGATATTAATTACTTTCTCTGGATTCTTGGGGGATGCAGAGCAGTAAACTAGCAGAGAGAGTTCAAAAAAACACTCTCCAAGCCTGGTGTGGTGGTGCATGCCTTTAATCCCAGCACTAGGGAGGCAGAGGCAGGCGGATCTCTGTGAGTTCAGGGCCAGCCTGGTCTACATAGTGAGTTCCAGGACAGCTGGGGCTACAGGGAGACCCTGTCTCAAAAAGACCAAAAAAAAAAAAAAAACCAAAAAAAACCCCACTCTCCTTTAGTAACTGTGGGCGTTTAAGTATCCTCAGGGGTTACAAAATTTCCCTAGGGAGTTCAGATTTAGAGAGAGACAGAGACAGAGAGACAGAGAGCAAGCAAAGCATAGTGTTAACATTCTCAAGGCTAGCTGCTGACAGGAAGGAAAAGCCTGGTTCTAGAAGATGGCAGGTCTCATTTACCTAGATCAGAAAGAGCATCTAGAGATAATGAGAAAGTTCCATGGAGGTTGAAGTTGGTCAGCCCTGGGCTCAGCAGTAGACAATCTTCACTCTGCTGACTTTAGGAGGTGGTCTTGAAATCACCGTCACATTGACAGAAAGTTCTTTAAGAACATCTCGCCAGGTAAATTAGAGAACAGGTGCTCTCTGGATATACTTAGATGGGCTTCTCAACCCACATGGACAACAAGGGAAGGTGTGAGTTAATGACTCAATTATATAAAATCAACCCCAGCCGAGTCTCCAAGCAAATTAATTTTATGGTGCCTATAATGTGAAACCATGTCTAACAAGAAAGTTTCTCCCAAAAGTTTAAAAGAAAGAAAGAAAAAGAATCCCAGCAGATGTAATACGCTCGAGCAGAACACCACAAGAGATGGACAATTACAAGGACAACAGTAGGATTGTTTTAAAACTAACACACACAGCCCCAATGCAGAACCCAGTGAAAAAAAAGTCAGCCCAGTGGGGCTGTTAGAGGAGAAGCTATCAGTGTAGGTTTTGGAGAGGGATGTACTTGGCTAACCACAGCATCCTGCAAGTAGGTTGCCACCTGTGGGGGAACTTAACCAACTCCAGTGACCTTGTATATGACCCCCCCACCCAAGACCTCCAGAAAGAGCAGAATCACTCCCTGTGACAACAGCTCCAACCTGATGGGCACAGAACCTCATTCTGCTGGGTTCTGTATTTGTCTAGTATGTGTGGCTTCCTTATGAAGTTTACCGTCTGTCTGCCTTTGCAAAGTCTCTAGGTGTACTGGTGATTTCTCAAGCCACATGCCACAGCATTGGCATGATTCAGGAGTCTTCAAGCTCTTTGCAAGGTTAAGTCCAGTCTCCTTTTACCTGTTCTTTCAATTGTGATTTCAGAGCCTGTGTGATTCTTTTTAAAGGAGGGCTCAGCTCCAATTTCCCTTTCCAAGTCTTTTTCTTTTTCCCCAGTGCCAATTAAAGTGTGTACAGTTAGCAGAGTATGCTGGTGCACACCTTTAATCCCAGCATTTGGGAGGCAAATGCAGGAGGATCTCTGAGGGATAGTGGCCAGCCTCATGAGTTCCAGGCTAGTTGGGGCTACAGGGAAACCTTGTCTCCAAAACTAACCAGCCAACAAACAACAACAACCAAAAAAACCTACCAAAACCCAAAACTAAAGCCAAACAAACAAAAAGATATGTACAGTTGATCAATTACTAATTTTTTTTCATGTCATCTGTTGGTTGTCTCAGTCAGTGTGGATTCAGGGGCCAGCATGCAGCTTTTCTCTAAGTGATTTTGAAAACTCTTAAGTTATGAAGCATTGGCCAACACTGTACATCCACTCTCTTGCTTCTTCAAAGGCTGTCTTCCCGTTCAAGGTTTAACAAGCTCTGGCCCCGAAGGTCTCTAGTCTTAAGCCCATCTTCATTCCCATAGTATAGAGAAAGCTAACAAGCTCACGTGTTGCCCTAAAGATATCCTTTCCTAACAGGACTGGAGGAAAAACCACTGTCACTGTTTTGAAAGTGACAGAAACAAGGAACAAACATGTATCTTTTCAAAACAGTTTATGAGAAAGGCAGAGAAACCACTAATATAAGTGAAAACACTCATGTGGAATTAGAACTGTAATTTACCAGTATGTTCCTTTCCCAGGTCTTTGTAGAGAACATAATCAAGACTTGAGAAGAATAAGGTTCCAAGCAATGGACTGCACACAGTTCTCTTTTGAACATAGTCTAGTAGCTGATTTCTAAAACCATACAGAACGGAAGACAGTGGCTATCCTTTTGAAGGTACAACCCACTAACAAAGGTGGAAGGAACAGGCAGCAGTTAAGATGCCAGTCAGCCAGGACCCTGGTTGGTTGGCCTGGGCTTAGTGCAGCTGCAGTGGTGCCCTGTTAGCATAATGCTGTGACAACTCCATCAGTGTGGTCTCAAGGTAGCTGTCAATCAGGATGCATCATTTAATCCAACAGCACTCGAAGGACTTTCTCCTACAACCCACATGACAGCATATCTACAGCTCTATTTATATCAGCGCCCAGTTGTGTTTACAATGCTGCAGTAATTAGAAAAGATGCAACAGGCAGCAATATTATTGAGATTTCCATTTTGCAGTATTACCCTGTAAAGTGTGATCTTGCT